GGGGGAAGCAAGGTCATCGTTCAAGAAAAGTTGCGCGAGTAATAGTAATAGGTATTGATTGATTGATTGATTTCGTGTTTAGGGGCGCGTCTACTGCTATGGTCATTAAACCCGTAAGTGTAATCTGTCGTAGCGTCGTGCACAAACATAGATGCAGGCGACCAAATGCTTGCCGCATAGCAGACCACTTGGGTTAAGCGTGGGGCGTCAGGATGTGACGAAGCGTAAAAACCCAGTGAAGGGTGGTGGGCGCAGCCAGCCCAGCTAGGCGGCTGCGACGCTTGACCGGTCCCCTTTCGTCTTCGAGGCGTCGAGTTGTGCGTTTCGGAGGCAGCGCGCCGGGTGGGGTGCGGACCGCGTGCGCGAAGGCCAGGGCCGGCAATGTACTTTGTCGTGAAGTAGTTAGACTCGAGTGAAGGAATTCTGCGGTGCTTCATACGATCGGATTTATTCGATATTTAAATAGAGGGTGTGGTAGCCGTAGAATGAAAATTACTTCTAGTAATGGGTGTCGATTTATTTCGTTTATAAAACTATTGTAGATAAGATTTATTTTGGTGGTAGATTCGTTAATAAACCAGCAATAAGTTAACCCCACTCTCGTCTGTGAATTATTGCACCCTGTATGACGCCCCGCTGTTTTATCAGGGGATATCGTAGTATTTTTTTCCCGCTGGATTGTGCGATCCGGTGCTTACCTACTCGGCTTGAGGGGGAGTGTCCCCATCCAGGTGTCTCCCACTAGCGGGGTACCGCCCCGGTCGGGGCAAATTCTAATTTTTCAACTGGTCTCCCGTCACGAGCGGAATTGTAGTGTAAGTTACAAGTGAGGTTAGGACAGACGAACGAAGGAAAGACCGCGCGCGGTCCGTGGCCCGTTTGTTAAGGTACCTACTGCTCCGGCATTCGCCTGTTGTTGATCGGAGAAACCACGGAAAACAACCGATCAGAGCAGCCGACCGCTAGAATTCTCCTCCAGACAGTGGATAAATTCGACCTAGTTATCTACTTGTAGTTAAGTCAAAACCCCCGCTACTGACGGGATTCGAACCCTAGGACCTCCCAACCGCGTGAACCGCGTTGATCGCGGAAGCCTACGCTTTCGATGTAAACCGAGTTTCCCGCGCACATCACAATGTACACGTTAAGAAACATCGACGGATCAAATATAATTTGGATAACTGCCATGAAATTAAATATGTTCTCTCATTTTTAATTACCTTAAATGATCAAGTCCAATTTATACAACATATTTAGAGTAATTTCCCTACTCTCGAATGATATTCAAACACACCCTTGACTAGTTATTTTCATTTATTTAAAACAATGGTTGTTACCCAAAAGAAGTAATCTGATTGCGAGATAAATGACTGGATGTCAGTTCGTGAAGTAATCTGCCAATGCGTCTCGTTGTAGGAAATAAACAATACTCAATACCACTTTTCTATTTCTTGTTAGAATAGAATTAAAAACAACTTGAGGAGACCGCTTAATAGTCAGCCTACGAAATGCGCCTGATCGCCAGTCGCTGGCCGCTTAGTCAGATAGCAGCTGACAAGAGGGCAGCGGTGTCTAATGCAGAAATTAGTCGGTTCCACAAAAAATGGTTTTTTATCGAGGGGGCCGTTAGAAGAAGTTTCACTGTACCACTAATTTGTTGGGTTTCATTTAATATAGTAGTGTTGGCAATCGACATAATTTCCTCCAAACGCACACGAGCCGCAACTGATTTTAAATATTAATACTTTATCAAATTTAACTGATATTATCAAATGCTTGAATGATTAATTAAATATTCACTCATTGTTAATTGTTTATGTGATCACGTATTCGCATAATTTTGATATATATCTGCCAAAATTATTCAACACAATGTACGAAACATTTAAGTTAAAATTTGAAGTCGATAAATAAATTTGTTTGATGTAATACAAGAATTTTGCTTGCTTCTTATAAAGATTTGTGAAAATTTATATCATTTGCTTTAAAATCACTAAAGTAAATCTTACCAGTAGGACCAGCCAAGTTGCGCAAAGTCCTTCGAAATGCAAATACCACTGATAACTTCATTAAGTGCGATGTTGTCTTTAAGAACAGTAGCGTAATTGGCTCCCCAAAGGATGAGACATAGTAAGTCGAGGCAACCTGCAAAAATAAATTGAAAGTTACAGACTTTTTCAGACAGTTTGAAATTTCAGTTACTCATAAATTTTTCTCGTTCATAACATTACTAAGTTATAGAGAAAAAAATATTATTTCATTTTTTCTGAAATGTTAACAACTCTTTCATAAACAAACTGTATATAAGAATTTATAATTCCGTTAAAAACGATAAAATAGGAACGTAATGAAAGTCGTAAAGGAGTACGGAGAAGCAAGATGTAAGGCCAAGAAAGTAATTCGGAAGCCGAGAGGATATACAGAAATAGAAAGAGTGAGATTAGTAATGCTATGAAAGAATTAAAAATTATAAGGGTGAATACCAACCTAAAATATTAGGGTAGAGGTAAAGGAGAAAATTTATTTGATACGGAAGATAAGGTGATGAGTAGATGAGCAAAACACTTCCATAACGTTTGAATGGGGGAAATCAAGAAATTGAACGTATGATATGATAAATTTTAATTTTACTGGCACTTAAAGAACCCACAAGAAATGAAACGTATACAACTATAAGAAAATTGAAAAATTGCTCCCAATTTAGATGGTATAGCGGTAGAATTTATGAAACAGGAGTTCAGAACATGTCGAAGAATGAACATAATTTAATACGTATAATATGGAGAAAAGAAAGAATGTGAAAAGACTGGAAAAAGACAGCCTTAAATCCTATACGTACGAAGGGGAGTAGAATGGAATGTACAAACTACAGAGGTATAGAGTTGTTTAGTACTGTTTATAAAATATTCCCAACAATCGTAGCTACAAGATTAAGAAGACATAATGGATAAATCATAGGAGATTACCAAAGTGGATTTAGAAAGGGTAGAAGCACTACGGATCAAATACATTGCTTATGACAATTGCGAGATATAGCATACAAATACAAGTAGAGATACATCAATTGTATACAGATTTTAAACAAGCATACTATACTATAGACAGTATTGAAATGATTAAGACGTGTATGATTTTGAAGTATTGCGGTAAGACTGATACAAATGACTCTTCAGAACTCTAGTAATATCATTAAATTTCAAGGAAAATTATCTAAGGAATTCCACAAATTAACAGGGATTAAAGCAAGGAGATGAACTGTGTACTATGTTGACTAACATATGCTTCGAAAAAATAGGGAATATTGAGATCAATCCTAACAATACAACAATTATGAATAGAACAGTGCAAATTTGACGTAGTGATGACTAAAACTCTTAAAGAATGGAAGAATCATTAAGGCAAGTGATGGTGTGTGTGTGTTTAAAAACTGGACGTAAAGGCAGAAAAAACAATACATGAAAACAACAAGAAAAAGTATTAGTAACCCCAAAAAATATTAAAGTATGAAACAAAAATATTGAAGGGGTGCATGTCATCGATTACTTCGGTTTCCTAATCACGGAAAACCATGACACAGCAGGCCATTAAGAAGAAAATAGCGGCAGGTTATAGATGTTATGGTAGCCTCTACCAAGTCTAAAATCCCAAGAATCTTAAAGACTGCTAAGTTTAAATTATACCATCATTAAGTATTAACCATCGTTAAGTAAACACCATCATTAAACCAATAGTACTGTTAGGAAGTGAAACTTTAACAAGAAAACGACAAACATGCTGTATGCGAGATACAAATATTACGAAGATATTTGACCCGATCAAAGAAAATGAAATCTAGAGAAGTCGAACCAATGCAGAATTGGAAGAACTATTTAAATGACTCAAAATAGTTACACGTATTCAGGTGTAAAACACTGGAATGCTTGGTTCACCTAATTCGAATGAATGAAGAGAGAGTCGTTAGAAAAGTATGCGTAGGGAGCATGGTCGGTAGGAGAAGTAGAGCTAATAGAAGAAGAAGAAGATAATTTTTGCATAATTTTAAGTAAACTCGTGACAAAACAAATACGTGAACAAGATTTTTTTTGGTGTCGAAAATGTTTCTTTACATTTTTTTCTCGAATAGAAAAAAATCCTTTGTAGTATGACCTAGGTCTGATTTTCATTAATAGTCCTAATATTTCGAAAATGGCAATAGTTCAACTCTTTCTACACACTTCTACAACATTATTACATTATCGTATGCGTAGTTTAAAAAAAGTGGTATAATGCTGTACGAATAGTGCAGATTTTTCAACAGAAAAACTTGTTTTGTGGATCGCTAATACCAAAAATGTGGATTTTTGTTGCTCCTGTTTGCAATCAATTACTTTCTCTCTTATGCTGTTTAGTCAGAATCAAAGTTTTGTGGGTCCACGATGCCAAAAAAAAATATTTTTGGCAAAACGTCTGACTGTCCATCTGTATGTGATCAACTAGTGCCTAAACTGTGCAAAGGATTCTCATCAAATCTGACGTGCGTCGATTGATTTGGCTGATA